CAGCGGTGTCGATTGTCCTCCCATCTTTAAATTGTTTCTTTAGCTCCATTAAGCTGGGACCATACAGAGTATAGAAAAGTAGCTTCAGAATCTGAAAAATGAAGTCTGCATCCTTTATAATGGCCAGCAGGGGGCAACTCCTGTGGTCACTAAAAGAAGGTTGTAAGTATGTGGAAAAACTTCTCCTTTGTTATTTGATCTGTGACCTCAGTAAATGTTTTCCTTCTAATTTATTGTCTCCATTAGAGTGAAAAACAAGGATAGAGCCAGGCATTATTCAGTGCTTAACAGTTAATCGAATATAAATTTTAGGTATGATTTTGTCTTTTAGTATTTATGAAAAAAAAAGTAGTGCTATCAGCGTTAATCTTCATGGGGCTGTACGGCGCTAACGCGGTAACAAGCTAACCGCTCTAATGTGTTGACGCCGTGCAGTCCCACGCACGGGACGACCCATGCTAACTCGCTAACGGAGATTTGCCGTGTTAATGTGGTTATGGCGTTAACGTCATTTTAACGAGATTAATGCTGACAGCACAAAAAATTGGATAAATTGCATTTTTGTATTCATTTTTACTATCATTTTCTCTTGTCTAGCATGAACATTTTCCTTTACAGCAATGCACTTTCTCCCCTCCTTCAGAGCCAACTCAAAATTTAGTTCAACTACATTATTTGGTTGACAAGATTGTCTAAAAGAGGTAAAAGGTGTAAAGGTTTTTGACAAGTGAACCTGCCTATCAGCAGCGGTAGGTGCCTTTGTGTACAGATCACCAGAGGTGTTTCACCTCACCAGTCCTGGAGCACAGTGTTGGTTGGCTTCAGGCTCTCCATCGCTCCCTGCATGGCTACCACGCATGTCTCTTCCTGAAGATGCCACACAATTACCAGTAGAGCCCTATGTCTGTGAAGGTTCTCAGTCATCCAGGTCTAAGGAGCTTGGAAAGAAAAGCGTCTGAAGAGCCCTACCTATTTATACATGGGCCTAAATTATTGTCTGTTATAAGCTGTTTGGCAGTCTTTCAGTATCTACATTTATAACTAAATGAAAACTAAAAAGTAAAGAAGAGAGAAGAGAAATATCCTTTAGTCGTGTTGCATAGTTTGTCCATTAGAGGCCACAGTATCAGTCCACCTCTGATGACCAGTTTACATGTATTTGAAGTGCCTGAAGAAAGCTGCTGTAACTTTTAGAAGTTGTCTTCATCCACAGCCTTTCCCACTCCTTTCTACTCTTCTTATTAACAGTAAACATCTGTGAATTACAGTAGAAAATGGAAATCAGAGCCAGAAGTGGGGCAACGTGGCATTTTTGATGCTTTTTATATAACTACAGCAAGTGCAAGAGGTTCACATCGTCGACCCAGAGTGCATTGCTCATGCACGGTAATGACAGCTTCCATAAGTCATAATATGTATTAAAGTGGGATTTTTTGATTATTTTTTAAATATTTAAATTCCAAATTTGTAATCTCCATTAAATTTAACTTCATTTTGCCTTGTCTAGCTGGGCTATACATCTGTGTTTGGATGTCAGCTGAGTTCTTCGATAATGAAAGCTTAGAAGTTTTGCGCAGCAATAATACTATTAAACCATGTTACAGTCATGTCATATCAAGCTTTTCAATGACGAGTCCTTCTAACTGTTCATTATTTAGTCCTTGTCTAACCTGAACACCTCCCTCCCTTCAATTCAAATTCTTTGAGCTGCCATAAACTATTTGTTCCAACGGGCAGGAAATTCTGTTACTAGCTGTACCAGAAGAAATTTGTTTCACTGGAAGTCCACCGCAGCTATCAGTGGTGTGTGGTTTTAGGTCAGCTATGCACAAAATGGCTTTTAGGAGAGTTTCTACAGCCAGTGTCCGTCTAGCACTGAGTATTGACAGCAAACCAGAGAAGTTCATAAGCTGCTCTCATGATAAAACAACTGATTATATCTCTTTTTGTGATGGAGGTTTACCTTGTATTTTCTTTCTGTGAGGCTTCTGACATTACCTCACACTCTTACATGCTAAATGTGCAATTGGCCCTTTGGATATGTCTCCCTACTTATTCTTTAAACTTTACTTTAGATTGCAGAGTCTGTGTGTCTTTATCACAGCTATGTTTACAGCTTAGACCCGGATTAAAGACCGTAATATGTGTGGTATTTATCAGTCTCTGCATACTGCGGAGTGGGAAAGGCTGGGTGTGTGCTGCCATAGTTATGGTGAGCGAAGTGTGACGTTTGGTGAGCTGAGCGCCTGTTTGCCTTATTGTCCGGAGTCCAAACGAAATGGCAGGAAATAATAACGAGAGCGAGCAGAGGAAAACAAATAGGAGGTTTTTGAGGTATTTCTAAAATTAGTTTGGGAAGAAAGTGACTCAGCTTAGACTGTGAAACACTTTGTATAGCTTCATGACTGATGCATATAGTGAGGCATTTTTGTTTTTTACATGTCTAGCTTGAGGGATATAAAAAAGGCCATGGCCTAAAAAGGAGTTTTATGATGCATCAGACAAACAAAAATAAAATTAGACTTAAAAAAGTGAAAGTTTTTGGTGTTGGGCTCTGACTAGGTCTTTTCTTTTTCAGCCAGTCTGTTGCAGGCTTGCTGCTGTGTTTGGGATCACTGTCCTGTTACATGACATCTATCTGTCTTCTCTCTCCCCAGCAGATGGCCGCCCCTCCCTGAGCTTAGTTCTGCTGGAGGTTTCTTCCTGTTAAAAGGGAGTTTTTCCTTTCCCACTGTCGCCAAAGTGCTTGCTCATAGGGGGTCATATGATTGTTGGGGTTCTCTCTGTATGTATTATTTTAGGGTCTACCTTAAGCTCTGCTCTATGTGCTTTTAGAGGTTTTTCTTGGTCCTCATCCGTGTGAAGACTTTCTTTTACACATGACTGTATATGATCATGAAGACCGCTATTAAGAGTTACCAAGCAAACATTAGCTGTGTTTCCTCTTGGTTTAATTTGAGTGCAACACCAGGTTAGTATTTCCAAGTACGAATAACCTGGATCTTGTTTTAAATTTCACCATGATTTTCACTTTGAGACAATCAAAGGGATATTTTTTAAGCGAATGTATGTGTGAATCATTTATGTTTATAATGGTGGTTTTTTTTACATCTTATAAAGTTATTATTTCCATGTACTGAAACCAAACAGATCTCTGGTTAAGAAATTGCTGCTTCCAGTGCTGGACCCCATCTCAATGAAGTACGGCCACATTTCCATCTGAGGAAAATGGCTTTCTCTTAATCTCATGCCAAACGTGCTCCATGTCATCTCCACATGCAGGAGGCTCAGATAGGAACCAGATTTCTGTTTGATTCCAGATTATTTACAACCTGCTGAGGATGGCCTTGGCTTGATAAAGACCCGGAACACTGTTCTTTCCCCTGCTGTGTGTTCCCTGTTGTGTATGCCCTGCAGTGTACATTTAGGAAAGATAGCTTTTTCCTGGTGGGATTTTTTTATGCCAATGGGAAAAAAGCTGTTGGGCTTCTGCTTGATTCCTGTTTTTATTCGGAAGAAGCTTCTCTGTGGTGGAAAAATCACATCCAGGCTTATAAAAGTCACATTCAGTTCAAGTGTGTGTGTGCTACAGTGGGTCTTTCTGTGGTCTGTGAATGGCAGAGCATTTTTGAGCCTATGTTTATGTGTGTTTGCACAAGACATCTGCTATGTCAGTAAGCTGGGGTTTTCTTTGTGGGTGTGTCGACTGCTGCCAGTGTCAAAGCAGAGGCCGGAGTTTACATCATATTCGGCGGTCTGTCACCCGACTCCATAAGCCTGCCAGTGGAGCTTTCACTGACTGAGCCACAAGTGTGCATTACATCTATGAAAGCCTTTATATGACACAGGAAATAAGCCAACGGTTAGATTGCATGTAAATCTTCATCAAATAAACAAAACTGCTTGACGTGCTATATTTTGAGAAATAAAAATGACTTATTTATAATAACTTTATGTTATGAAAGAAGACTGCAGTGCATATTGTAGGCACTGCAGTGCAGTGCCTACAATATGCACTGCAGTCTTAGTCATAGAATAGTTTCGGACTGTGTGCTTACCCTGACATTGAACAGGCATGTTCACAATTTGCTTCAGAATTCCAGAAGAAGTTCCAACCATCAGAAGCAAAGTAAAGTTTTCTCATGTTTGGTTTTGTAATTCTAACCAAAGTTTATCTCTATTTATGTTGTTTTCATGGTCACCGCCTGGCTGCTTGCACAGAGACTAAAGGTACAAATTGGTTTTATAGCAGGCCGAATATTTTTTTGTCCAGATGCTTAAGAGTGAGACCTATCCCAGCTGTCATAAGGGGAGAAACAGAGTACACCCTGGACTCTTGAAATGTCGTTGAGCATCCTCAGTACATTTTAATTAAGTTAATAAACGAAATTAAGTAAATTTAGTGGCTTAAAGCCATGATTATAAAAAGGGGCCTAATCTATTTTTCTGTTTCAGTGAGTTCAGAATATTTCTAAGTAATTCCCATGACCCAAAAGTTTAGCTCTAAACTCTCAATTTGAGACATTTTTCTTTCTTTTCTTTGCTCTGTGATGTCATTGAGAGCAGATAGACCTAATATGGTCATCTCAGGCACACAGCTCTGGCTGTGAGTACAGAAGCCCCACCCACCTGTTATTCAAAACTTCTTTTTCCAAGGAGAAGCCAATCAGAAGGGAGACTGAAAGTATAATCTCGCACTGTTAATAATGCAAAACTACTAGAGTCTCAAATTAAAAATACATTAGAGAATCTTTTCCTTTAATAATGTGGAAGGAAAGCGTAAACATTGGTGTGTTGCAGACATTCTGCAGTCAGCAGAAATGTTAGTGTGTGTTTTTGGGCTCTCACACACAAACACTGAGTATTTGTTCAGCTCTTCAGCAGCAGATTTCTGTGTGTTTGGCACTGAAATGAACAACGTGCCAAAGTGTGATTTATGGTTGTGCATATTTGCATTCATGCAACACAATCTTTCCTTCCTCTCTCTCTCCCTCCTATAGTCGACATACGGGAGATCCGGGAGCTGCGGTTGGGGAAGAGCTCCCGTGATTTTGAGCGCTACCCTGAGGAGGCTCGTAAGCTGGACTCCACCCACTGCTTTATAGTGCTGTACGGCCTGGAGTTTCGCCTCCGGACCCTCAGTGTAGCTGGTCAGTGTGTGTGTGTATATAAGCTACTGTCTGTGTATGTGTACTGATGATTCCCAAAGTGTTTTCACAGCTACTGTTTGGTTTTTCTCACAGTCATGTCTGCTGCTCAACTAGAACTCGCATCACATCACATAACATATTTTCTGTTACTCATTTTCACAACTTTGTTCATCTTAAACAATCAGTTTAGCACTGCTGTTTATTTAATTACTGTCAAAATGCCACATTTTGACACAATCTAACAATGTGCTTGGTTTCTCTATCATGATGTTAAGGCTCTACTGCAAACATATGTTGGTGGGCCCCTGGTGTTCACTGTCATAGCCTACAGTATCATAATTTGCCAAGTAACCATATAAGCAAAGCTTAGTTATGTAATCAACTTAAAATCACATCTTAAAATTTGATTTTCAACAACAAATAAAACAACCATGTTTTATATTGTACTGTTACTTTACAATGAATCGTACAGACCTCAGTTATAATGAGTAAACCTGGAACCTACGTGGGTTTAAAACTACTGCTTTCCAAGTGAAGGTGTAAATCTTCAAAATAACAACTATGGGGAAAATGAACTCTTATTTGTTAGTGTGTGTTTTTAATAGTTTTTGATACAGAGTTATATTTGTTATGAGAATCATTTTACTGTTGGGTATGGTCTTTTATTTCTGGAGGAATTCAAGACAACAATAAAACTACAAAATTTAAAATACCTACAATTCAGTTTTAGCAGGACAATTGTTGCCCTAAAAACATTCTTTTGCTTGCTCTGTGAATTTGTGTTTGTAGCCTTCAGTGAAGAGGAAGTCAACATGTGGATCACTGGACTCAACTGGCTAATGATGGACACGCAGAGGGCACCGGCACCACAACAGATTGACAGGTTTGTGTGTTTGTGTTTGAGAGAGCTGTAAACCTGAGGCTTCATATACACAAATGGATATGCTCCTATATCAACACACAAATCATTCCTGTCCATCATCTTAAAGGGCAGTTTGTGCTGGGAAGGTAGAGGAACGACAAAGAGACTCTCAGATTTATTACAGTTGGTCTTCTGATCACATCAGTGTAGCTTTGTACCAGAATGACAAGTATCACAAGAAACCTGTGGCAAGCATCAGAAGAAACTCTGGATGAAAATCTGTATTATGAGTAATAATAAGAATAGAAGACAATAATCATATACTTACACATATATAGACCACCGGAAGGGACCGGTCCGGTCTGGGGGATCTTGAGGATCAGGACTGTCCAGCCTTCGGTTAGCCATTCCGGGTGTCTAGCAGCTGGTTCATTAGTACTGCCAGAAGCTTGTGGAGTGCAGTCAGCTTCTTCAACCAGTAGGTGTGAACCATGTCGGGGCCTGGTACTGTCCAATTCTTCATACTGGAGACCCTTTCTGCCACTGTGATGGTTACTGGACCCTGTTTAGGGAGGTTGCTGTGGTCTGCTCTCTTAGATCCACTAGCCCCTGAGCATTGCCGTTAAGGGTTGCGTCCTTCTCCCATAAGCTCTTCCAGTATTGCTCCGTCTCCAGCCTTGGGGGTGCTGTTCTCACAAATTCACATTAACTACTTACATCCAGGGTCTAGCTAGAACCTCATAGATTTGAAACTGAAAGTTAGAAATTCTTCCACAAATAGTGATCCAATTGCTGCAGTATGGTGATATAGGCACTCTGCAGCTTTGCTTTACATAGAAATATGTCGAGTGTCCTGATTTTATTCGGTGTGTTAAAGAGACAGTAAGTAAGTAACAACTAAAAACACATCTTTTTAGAATTGCATTTTGTTAACTTTTGTCTGTTTTTGTTTTATACCTTGTGAAGCACTTTGTGATCTTTTATCTAGAAATGTGCTATATAAATAAAATTTTACTTACCGTAAATGTCGGGCTATAAGCCGCTACTTTTTGCACAAGCTTTGAACCCTGCGGCTTTTAGTCAGGTGCGGCTTTTCTATGGATTGTCCATGATTTTTGTCATATCGTAAGACGATTTGTTTTGTGTGTTCCGCTGTTGTACGGCACTACGTTGCCTGGCGGAAGGATCGGGGTTCAAGAGTGGTATGTTAGTCACATGTCCGTCCGCCAGGCAATGTAGTGCCGTACGAAGTAGCGCGAAAAACAAACTTCAAAGTAGCGGTACGCGTTCAGCGGGAGTCGTGGATGATGAGCGGCGATAAACTTGCAAGTTATGCCCAAAAAGCAAGTTATGCCCAACTCCACCGGTGGATTCTGACAGCGTGGAAAAGTGTGAAAACATCCACGATCACCAACGGATTTTGAAGGGCTGGACTGCTGCATGATGGAGAGGAGGACACCGCCACGGCCCTTCTGAGGGTGTTCAACTCTGACACTGACAATGAGGATTTCTTTGGTTTTGAAAGTGACAACGAAGGAGAGAAGAAGAGTGGATGACGAAGCCATTCTGAGCCTGTTTGTATCCGACACTGGAGGAGAGGACTTTGGTGGTTTTAGTGCGCAGGAAGAAGAGAAAGATGGTGGTGAATGACTGACTTTTCTTCTTGTTAAAGCCGTGTCACTGCACCTGAGCCTAAAAGGTAGTCCGAATCTATTTTTCTGGTGTGCTGTAGGCTACTGTTATGTACTACATTTGTTACTCATTTATGAAGCACAGTACATGTTTCGTACTTGTAATTACCGCTACTTGTACATATACCTAAAAAGTTATGCAAATATGTACCCATAACTTGTTTTTCAAAATATTAATAAAAGTGATGTCTCCAAACAGCCATCTCTTTCCTGACAATTCGCTTTCTGCATATTCTCTTACATATGATAAGTCAACATTGAAACACCTGCGGCTTTTGGTCAGGTGCGGCTAATGTATGTACAAAACAGGATTTTCCCCTATTTTAGCTTGTGCGGCTAATATTTAGGTGCGCTTTGTAGTCCGGGAAATACGGTACTTACTTATTAAGTATTACTGAACAGGATGTTTTATTAAATGTCAGAAGTTTGTGAAGCTTTTATTTTGACATTTAAATAAACAGGAAGCTGGAGGTTCAGAGAATAGTGGGGAAAGCATGGCTGCACCTTTGAGACCATTCATCAAAACAATCCTTTGGAAAGCAAAGGATGTGAGTTCCATCAGTTCTTTGGGAACTGATTATAGTGTGTTTTGTGACAAACCAGTAATAGAAGTTCTAACCTGCTTATTGTGTTAATATAAGATTATATGTGTAGGAAACTTAACTTGTAGTCTCTTGTGTTAGTACTATTTACATGACAACCTATTAAGAGTTTTTTTTCTGGCTTTCTGATTTCACTCCAGTTGATGTCAGTGATGTCAGTTCGATGTGATGGATGTGTACGAAGTCAATAAAGGAGCAAGTATGCTCTCTTTCCTTTCCCTGAAAAGGAGTTTGGCTGGTTGATTATCTATAACTCATTTATTCAGATTGATTAGTTAAAAAGAAGTTAGCCCCACTCAGAGTTATTATGAAGAGGGAAGCTTTCTAAAGAAGGCTGTAAACATGCTTTTAAATGCTGTAAAGTTGCCCACAGGAACCTATATAGGCTGGCCAGCTGGGTTCAGCAGAAGCTATAGGTTAACAAGTAGCTTTTCTTTAGTCAAAATCTAAACATGAACTCTTAAACTTTTTCTGGCATGCCCCACTTCAACAGCCCAACGGGTCAAGCCCCATAGCCCACGTTTTTTATCGATTATTAACAATGAAAAAAAGATCTACGTTGAATTTGACTTAAATAGGGGTGAAGATAATCAGTGCAGTAACAACAGGAAATTCTCCTTTTCTCTGGGAAAAAACAGGAAACTGTTGAACAAAAACTAAACAAAATGAGCAGGAAAATCATACACCCCCTCCCACTCTCTTCCCCAAAACTAAAAAAAAGGCTTTTCAGTGCCTCACCTGCAATGTCTCTGCATCTCACGTTACCTATACATTCACATCATTTGGCAATCATTTTCAATTCAATTTCAATTCTTGTTGTAGTGGACAGCAAGAGAGAGGGGCAAATGCACAGCAGCCACTATCCATTATTAATGAGTAGCAATGTATAACTTAGGGCTTTTTAGAAATACAATGTGTGTAAGGCAAAATAAGACACACATATGTGTGTATGTGATTTTGGTCTACACAAAGAGTCTTCAAATCCTGAGGCTTCTGTTTTTCTATGAGGTTGCAATTGGATTCAGGTCAGGTGATTGGCTGAGTCATTCTAGCTGCTTTATTTTCTTTGTCTGAAATAAATTGAGAGTTTTCTTGGCTGTGTGTTTGGGATCATTGTCCTGCTGAAACTTCCATCCCTGTTTTATCTTCATCATCCTGATAGATGGAAGTTGGTTTCTCACAAGAATGTCTCAGTAAATTTTCCATTTGTTCTTCTAGCTCTGCACAAGTGGTCCTTGGCTCTGGGGAAACTCTTGTGATAATTCTTTTCAGTTCTCTGTCTGAAATCTTGTGGGGAGCATCTGGTCGTGACCAGTTTACGGTGAAATGATGTTCTTTCCACTTCCAGATTATGGATCCAACAGCGCTCACTGGAACCTTGAGTAGTTCCGAAATTTTTCTGTGACTAATACTAACAGTATATTTTGCAACAATAACTTTGCAAAGGTCTTGAGAGAGCTCATTGGTTTTACCCATCATGAGATGTTTCTTCTGTGACAACTTGGTAGGGCTGCTCAATTAATCGAATTTTAATCACGATTACGATCTGGGCTTTCAACGATCATTAAAAATGAATGAGCCGATTATTAGCCCCTCCCTCATTTATCCGCGACACCTTAAAGGCCGGTCCGTGAAAATATTGTCGAGCATAAACCAGTCCATGGCGCAAAAAAGGTTGGAGACCGCTGATTAAGAGGACCCGAGGGAAGCTCGGAAAGCTAAGCAGAAGTTATTTGGAGAGGAGAGTGACTGCCGTTGGTTGAAAAGAGAGGTAAAAAAAACTTCAGTGGTGTTGCACACTATTTTATATTATTTTTTAAAGTCATTATTCAATACATTGTTATTGTTAACCCTTTAAAGCCGGTCAGAGCAGCACGCTCCGTTTTGTGTAACTATTTTTAAATCCTTGTAGAACCTGAACCGTGTCAGCTAGCGCAATAATCTTTTTTTGCATATGAAACCGGAGGAGTTGTACTTACATCTTCTGCCATCAGCTTGTCCTCGGTCACGGTTTCCTTCCACATAAAGCTTTGCAAAAATTGCATAAAAAGCGCTTGCAGGAACAAAAACATAATATTCCAGAAACAGGCTTTGCCGATCCGATCAGCTGTTCGTAACACTTCGCACATTGAAACAGACGTCACTGCTAACTATCGCATGTCCGCCATTTCCTGCCCAAAACTGGAAGTGACGTCATTTTCACGGAAAATGTAGTTTTTTACTTGTAGGCCTTAAAAGCCTATACTGGTCATGTTTGACTTTTCTGAATAGTTTCTGGGATGCTTAGAACTCTAATTGCACTGCTGGAAATAGTTTATTTTGATGCACCTGCTGTTTTCTTTGCAAATTTGCATCATAGGATTGTTTTTCCTGCAGTATATAAAAATTGCTTTATCTCCAAAATAAAACTATGAAGACACTCAAAATAAATTTCCTGTTGTTGTAAACTATTTTTTGCAACTTTTTTGTATTTAAAGTTTTGAGGGATAAACCTCTTAAATTTCTCCAAGTAGAAATATATGTAAAAAAAACCAAAAACGATTTTCAATTTTTTTGTAGTTTATTGCACTTTTTTGCAATTAATGTAGTTACTATGGACTTAATGCATACATATTATTAAAATATGGGCTATAACAGTTGTATAGCAACTTGAAATGCTCCCACAAATGGCACTACAACATGTAAAAAAATAATATAAGCTCTGGCGAACTTGGTTCTATAGTAGGTCTTAAAGGGTTAAATAAATATCGTTAAATAATCGAGATCTCAATTTCAGTGAAAATAATCGTGATTGTCATTTTTGCCATAATCGAGCAGCCCTACAACTTGGTAATGAGACACCATTTTATAAGCCATCAGTTGGGACTGAAAAAGCTGATTTTAATTTAAATTAAATTAATTAATTAATTAATTAAAGTGGCAGATGCTAGATATCAGCTAGTGTCCCATGCCTTTTTGCACCTCCCTTTCTTCAATACTGATTGTCCTCGCTGTATATACGTGCGGAAATTGGGTTGTTTTTAATATGAACCATTAAACTGGACAATGCTCCCCACAACCACCAAAACGGGAGGCCAATTAGTGCCAATTAAAAGTACAAAACTGAAGTAATGGAAACAATTAAAAAAAACCTGTCTATATTTGTTATCTGGGTATATCAAAGGAGTGGTGACCTGGACAGAAACGGAATTGTGAGTCAGCATTGAGGACAAATATTTGTTTTGGGATGAAAATATTTGTTCCGGACAAATGTGCGGAGGCAGTTTTTTGGCTTATGTGGTGAAAGCAGAGGAACAGAGAGGTGTTGTATGGCAGAAAGACAGTTTTGTTGTCTACATAGTGAGCACAGTTTATGTTTGGAAGTGGTCGAAGGGAATGAAATGGATAATTTTATCTATTTATGAAGTTAAGGAGAAGGACCATTGGCTGAATACTTAAAATAGACGCAGGCATTATGACAAAAGTCAACTTCAATGTCTTTGAAAGTTTAATAGTTAAACAAAAAGGGAAACTCTGTATAACATTGGTAATGTGTGTCTTTGTGTGTTTTAACACTGGAACACTAATTAGATTAGCTTTGTAATGTTACAGTATGTTGTAAGTAGCACTAATATTGAAGACATTAAAAGTGAAACTTTTTCATCCCAAATATAAATGATGATCTTTTTAAAAGAAAGAAAAAGAAGGGTACTCTTAATGAAAGACAATAAAAATATCCTACTTGAATAACTGGGCACTATGACCGGCAATTTCAATTCCATTTTATTTATATAGCACCAAATCACAACAGCAGTTGCCTCAAGGCAATTTAGAATGTAAGGGAAAGACCCTATAATAATATAGAGAAAACATCAACAATCAGGTGTAAGCACTTGGCAATTGTGGGAAGGAAAAACTCCCTTTTAACAGGAAGAAAACTCCACCAGAACCAGGCTCAGGGAGAGTCAGCCATCTGCAGCAATCCCAAGTTGTTAGGAAATGAGCACACCATGGATAATGTTCCTTCCTCACACTAAGAATAACCAAAATCTACAACATAAACTTAATGTTTTAGTTAGTATGACCAAAAATGATGCACTGGGCACATTATCATCAGGAAAGTATTTATTAGTTTTACCTAAAATAGAATGACTTCTTTTCAGAGCACAGTCTGTCAGAATACATGTTCTGCTTCTATGTTAACAGTTAAAACAAAGTCTAAAAATATTCAGTGCTTTCCTTTAACTTCAGTGTTTTAGCACAGTACCCAGAAGTGTGTATGTTAGAGTTTAATGCTTTTAAAAGTTGCTTTCTCTCTCCTATTACTTTACCCTCTCTCCCTCTGTAGGTGGCTGAGGAAACAGTTTGAAGTAATGGACAGGAGCCACGAGGGCAGGTGAGTGACATGCAGGCCTTCAGCACCCAGTTGTAAAGCCTATGACGGCTGCTCATTAGTGGGTGCCACAGCAGGTGGAATTACGGTGAAATCATATCCAGATCTCATCAGAGAGACTCTGCCAGGGACCTGCCCATACACCTCCATGCTCCGAGGCAAATATCACGCAGACTCTTTTAAATCCAGGCTTCTGTTTGGGTGGAAGTAGCTCCAGGACAAACAGCCTGCCACCCCCTGATAAGGAGGAGGAAGTGATGTGATGCGATGCCGGGAGAGGGCAACTTCCTGTCTCCTGTGAAAATAGTAACAGTAGCTAGAGAGAAAGAGGTGGGAGGTGGCAGGTCTGAGACCAGTAGTGATAGCGGTCATTGAACCTAAAAGATCCCAAGAGCGCTGACCTAGATTTTTTCACTCTACCTACGTTTCCAGCTTCCTTCTGTAATCTCTTATTGATTTCTGTAGTTGCATATGTTTTTTTCCTTAATCTCTAGTCCATGTGCGATTTGTCTACGGAAAAAAAGTTTAACGTTAAAGACATCAGCAGCTCTACAAAAGCTCATGCAGTCTGCTAATACACTGTTTTATCAGATCATGTATTTCTATTTTTGACCATCAGTTTAAAAACTGTTAAGGCATTGTTAAGTTAAGTTAACATTGAGGATAAAGGTTTTCACAGTGGAAAGTGCCCAACTTTTAATGTAACGGTATGGTATTTGCCACCATGTGACTCACTCTGAACAAACTAGATGATTTTTTCATGTGCTGAGTTTAGATTCACTGCACTTGAATAAGGTTTTTCTTTCTTTTCTTTTGTTCCCTTCCCAGCATTACAGTAAAGGATGTGAAAGCTCTGCTGCCTCAGGTCAACTATCGAGTGCCCAACATGCGCTTTCTCAAAGACAAGCTACAGGTTAGAGTGAAACACAAGTCTGAGGATCATTTTAATGTTTTACTGCCTGCAGCTTCTTTGCCTTTTTGAATTTGCTCTCCTGCATGTTCTGACTTGACCACAGCACTGTTTGGTGTCACTGTAACTCACAACAAACCCATTTACATAGGAGGTGGAGGCCAGGAGCGACCTGTCATACCCCAACTTTGCACAGCTCTACAGAACACTGATGTTTGATGCACAGAGGAGTGTGAGTGTCAGATATAAACCTACATACATTTGCAGAGCACTGGAGGAAGTATTAAAATCTTATACTTAATAAGTAGCATCATCAGGATGGAAAAGACAATAAAGAAGGTTTTTCTTAAGTCACTATTATAAACCATATCCTAAATGTTATGCAAGGAAAGTTTTACTGTCCAAGTGGTTTCAGGGGTGGGGGGTACACCTTGCCACACCAGAATGTGAAATAAGCCAGCGAGCTTGAGCTTGAGCTCAGCCTTCACTAATGATATGATAAAGAACTCATTATTGGAGTTTGGATTTCATTAAATCTATATGATGAGATATAGTAGGTTGTTCACCAGCTAAATTGTTTCATGTCCTCTGGAGGATTCATTTTGACATTAGGAACTGTAGGAAAAGAATCTGGGTTAAGTTCAATATCAGCAACTAGCGCTATAAACTAAGCATGCTACGTCCTGCGACAATTTTCACTTTGATCAGAAATAAGCTTACTGAGGAAACTGAGACTCAGTTGCCTTTTTTAGGATGCCATTACATGTTGTTAGTGCTTCGTAGCTACAGGGTGTTATACAGCATGACCCAAAGTGGCAACTGATGAAAAACTTTCAAGAACCTTTTTTTGTTGTTGACTTAGCAAGCATAGACAGCGAAGGAAATGGAGCTGTCATGATGTCAACCATCAGTTTCTGAAGTAACTTTTGAACCCTCAAGATGAATGTTTTCGCTGTCTTCATCTTGGTTGCAATAAACTTGACATGAAAGGCAGGTCTGGCTGAAAAGCACACTCATTAGCAAATGATGCCACTAACAACTCTTTAGGCAGTTAGCTTGCTGTTTCTCACGGGTCCTCCATTTTGAAACACAGCATGACCAAAATGTACAAAATAGGCTTCATTTTTTTATTTAGTATATCCCAAAATGAGTAACTGAGCTCACAATTTACTATGGTCAACACATAAAGTTGTTTTTTTCCTAGACTTCTATGCCATGTTAAGTAGCTAGCAAAGTGTCTGTGTTAGCATGCTACGAGCACACATTGGTTTTGATACCTAAGACCAAACAGAGAAATCCTGTTCAGGATGTTTTATTCAAGAAAGCGTTTCTTTAGACCCACATTAGCCAACTTATTTATTAGCATATCATGCAGCACGATTTTAGTCGTTTTTATATTCAATTTTCTAAAGCTCTGGCTGCTACAACAGCAATATAACATAATTGTTTTCAAAACATTTGTAGACAAAATTAAAGAGGTAAGGATGAGAGTGTTTGGTAGGGTTGCCAACTGTCCCGTTTTAGCCTAGACATGGCGTATAATGAGGCATATTAGTTTGTTCTTTATTAATGTCCCCGGATGCTTGTGTCCAGTCACAACACTGATGACCTATCAGGCACACCACATGTGAGGAGTACACACGTGATTTGTAAAAATAAGGTTTGGTCTCCGTAGCATAATAAACTGGGTAATTGAAGCCTGTATTTACAGTATTTTTATTTGAATATTTTTTTCTTTTCTGATTATTTTTCAAAAAAATGACCATCATTTACTTTATTTTTCTTTATTGTTTTAGAAAAGTCATTGAAACTGATTACCAACATTTTACTGCATTTTTATTATAAGAATATGGACATAAAGTGCATATTAAACTTTGCCCAGCTGACTGTGCATTGTGCTTCTGGTGCACCAGTGTCCCTATTTGATAGTTAAAAAGTTGGCAACCCTATGATTGGGACATGTGCAGAGAAGCGATGGGGATATATTGGTCAAAGGATGTTAACCATTGAGCTGCCAGCAGGAAGGAAAGAAGGAGATTCCAGAGAAGATTCATGAATGTAGTGAAGGAGGACATGCAGAGGATTGGTGTGACAGAAGAGTTTGCAAAGTATAGGGTGAGATGATCCACTGTGGCAACCCCTGAGGGTCTAGCTCAAGGAAGAAACAACAGCAATATTTGATATGTTTATACAGTATTATATTTATCTGATCTTGATTGTTGTACTTAAATATCACTTAGCAAAAAGTTTCAGTAGCTCAGAATTCCACTAAGTAAACACACCAGTGCTGTGATACTTCCTCTTCTGCTCTCATGCACGCTTTGCTCACTTTGTCCTTTACTGCTCCCTCCCACCTGTCCATCACCTGGTTCCTTCCCTTTTGTTCTTCAGATTATTGAGCAGCTGGAGCTCTCCTTCCCTCTGCGGTGAGTCCCTCCACCTTTTTGTCCTCAGTGTCTTGTCCTTCATCCTCACATCCCCTGCTATCCCACTACTCCTCCAGTTTTCCCAGTTTATCAGGGAAGTTTTGCATTTCAAATCTTTATATGATTTGTCACATTAATGAAATTTAATAATTGTTTTGGATGTCCAAAAAAGTGAAATGTTTTCTTAAAGTTATGTATGCGATGGGGCGGTGGTTTAACTAGATTTGGCAAACGTAAAATAAAATAAAGAAAGCTATCACAATGAAATTATCTATCACTAAAATTCTTGATGTTTCATGCCTGCTTTCTCATTCAATAGTACTTTCAGACGTCTGCCATCTAATATCTTGTAAATCACTGTCTTTTCAGAAATGTTGACAGACCAGAGCTATGTCAAATCTCCCTCTATGACTTTCAAAAGTTTTTACAGATGGACCAGAAGGTACAGAAAAGATTCAGTGCCCATCAGCACACAGAAAAAGCTTCCCAAAACTGCTTTGCGCTTACTTTTCTTTATCCGGCTCGTCTCAGGAGTCCTGGGCGTCAGATCTTGGTCGTGTCAGGGAGTTTCTTATGGGCTACATGAGGGGGGCACCACAGCCTGAGCCGATGCTACAACTGGATGAGGTGACACACTAAATAAGAACAAAAAGTTAACCTCTCAACAATCCACCAGGTCACTGACAACCTCGCTGTACGGCTGCTTTTGTTATAGACACATACGTGGTCAGTGCTGGTGTTCCAAATGACCAAAGGAAAATGGTACATTACTGAAGTGAAACCCTAACCTGAGATGAAATGCCATTGGCCTGATGGATGTTCTCGATAAACTTGAGCATACAGTCAAATCACAGTGTTTTCCTGACAATTAGATCTTTTTGCTGTTTTTTGTTTTTGTTTTTTTTTTAGTTCCTGACCTTCCTGTACTCTAAAGAGAATTCTGTGTGTGACCCTCGTCTTTCACCCGTAGTTCCTGATGACATGAAAAGGCCATTGTCTCAGTACTGGATCTCATCTTCGCACAACACGTAGGTCTCACAGGAAATCTTTCAAGTTCACAAATATTCATAATTCAATAAGAACATCTTTTAAGCTAAACACAGATGACAGTTTAAAAAGTTCAGTGATAAACTACCAACTTTATTATTATAGAGAGCATGTCATTAGAGACTGAGTGTGCAGATAGGAATTTTATTCTGCTTGCTAATATTTTTAGGATTTTTATACATTTTTTGAATGTTTTTTCCAATGCAGAAGTGAAAGGGATATTGCTGTTCTTTGACATCTAATTATCAAAAATGTTGAGTTAAAAAAATTGGAAATTGAAAAGTCCTTCATGACAGAGATATTTCAAGAGAGATATTCAAAATCCTCGGATTTGCTGGTAACTGCTGAAAACAATACGATTCAATATTTCTGTGGAAATTTAAAGACTGGAGTCTGTTTTGTTTTTGTTTTTTTTTGCTTGCTAGTTGCGTCGAGGGGTAGTGCTGGGGGTTGTTAGTATTTATTTTTTTAAATATCATTACGGTATATTTTTACTTGCTACAGTATTAGTTATTCTATAACCACCGCTGCTATAACCAGGTTGTTTTCTACATTCATGCTTTTTCAGGTACCTGACAGGTGACCAGTTTTCCAGTGAATCATCTCTAGAAGCCTACGCTCGCTGTCTGAGGATGGGCTGCCGCTGCATTGAACGTATGCGAGATGTTTTTTAAACTCACTGGTGAACTACTCCTTCCTGCAGTTTATTACATACATAGTGCTGTTCCACAAGCTTTGGGTTAACCAATACAGGCTTCATTTCAGGGTCTAAAATCTTAGCTATATGTTTGCTTTTTAATTTCTAATCTAAGTGGACTGCTGGGATGGACCTGATGATCTGCCAATCATCTACCACGGCCACACATTAACTTCCAAGATCAAATTCCTGGATGTGCTGCATACCATCAAAGAACATGCCTTTGTTATATCTGAGTGAGTACATGATTGTGTTCATTTACTGAGCCGTATTGCTAAAGTAGCAGTTTTAAGTAGCGACTGAATCACCATTTTTTTTCTTTAGCATTACAGCTCTTCTACCTACTGTTGTGTCTTTGCAGGTATCCTGTGATCTTATCCATCGAGGACCACTGCAGTGTGGTCCAGCAGAGGAACATGGCCACGCACTTCAAGAAAGTTTTCGGAGATCTGCTGCTCACCAAACCGGTTGACAATAACGCAGAGGAGCTTCCTTCGCCCTACCAGCTCCGCAGGAAGATCCTCATCAAAGTATATACTCAACACCTCAACACTGAAGAGATTTTTCATTTTAAATTGAAGTTAATATCACACAGTGATGTTTGTCAGGTGGCAACAATGTGTGCAGAGATGTGAGTTAATTCAGAACAATGGAGGAGGTGTAGATAATGGAAAAATAAAACTATTTTAAAGGTTGCTTTCAAAATAGATTCAAAGCTGTATTGCTCTCAGCTCTGTATATATCAGGTCAAAAGTTTCATCATATCCTGAAAATTTACACCACATGTTCACCAGAAAGCTTGACTATTCCACAGACTGGTAGATAGAGAAGCTGACAGTAATTACGATGCTGCCCTCAGCTCTCTGTCATCAGCCCCAAAGCGCAGCGTCCCACCCTGTCTATGACCAGCCAATCCTTCCTGATTATAGGCTAGAAATGCACGCAAGCACAATTAGTCTGCCTATAGTTAAGACAAAGAGTTACTTATGGCCATTTGAAAAACAAAAATCTCTTTGAAGTTTAAGTTAATGAAATGCCACCTACAAAAAGGGTGTTAAATGAAATGTCGAAAAATCGTTTTATATTTATACATTGGTGTGAAAAAGTGTTTTTGCACCCTTTCTGTTTTCTTATTTTGTTTTGTTGTTTGTCACACTTAAATGTTTCAGATCATCAAACAAAATGTAAATATTAGACAATGATACACAAGTAAACACAGCATGCCATTTCTAAATGAAGGTCTTTATTATTAAGGGGCAAACCTTAATAATGAACTGCATCGCCCTGTGTGAAAATGTGATTGCTGCGAAAGCTGTGGGATTCCAGTGAACCATAGTGAGAGCCATTATCCACAGATGGTGAACACATGGAATAGAGGTGAACTTTCCCAGGAGTGGCCGGCCGACCAAAATTAGCCTAAGAGCGCAGCGACGACTAGTCCAAGAGCTCACAAAAGACCCCAGAACAACATCCAAAGAGCTGCAGGACTCACTTGCCTCAGTTAAGGTCAGTGTTCACCATAAGAAAGAGACTGGGCAAAAAGCAACATAAAGGCTCTGTGGACTGATGAGACAGAAGTTAAACTTTGTGGAAGGTGTGTGCCTCATTGCATCTGGCGTAAAAGTAACAGGAACATCATATTAACAGTGTGATGGTCTGGGGCAGGTCAGGACCTGGAAGACTTGCTGTGGTAAATGAACCATGAATGCTGCTGTCTGCCAAAACATCCTGAAGGAGAAAGTCCAGCCATCTGTTTGTGACCTCAAGCTGAAGCACACCTCAGATCTGCAGTAGGACAATGATCCCAAACCCATCAGCAAGTCCACTTCTGAATCGCTTAAGAAAAACAAAATGAAGACTTTGGAGGGGCCTGGTCGAAGTCCTGACCTGAATCTGACTGAAATGCTGTGGCATGACCTTAAAATGGTGTTTCATGCTGGAAAACCCTCCAATGTGGATGAATTATAACAATTCTGCAAAGATGAGTGGGTCAGAATCCCTCCACAGTGCTTCACTACCAGTTATCACAAATGCTTAATTGCAGTTGTTGCTGCTAAGGGAGAAATCAGGAAGGGGACAAACACTTTTTCAAACCACTATAAAATTTATAATGCCAGGTATTTATTTCTTGTCTTGATATCACTTGCATACTCTTACCTCCACCTAGGCAAGATATATTTTTTTCCACATTTTTTTCCACACAACTTGTCATAATTTAAAAAGAGAAAGAGGTTTCTGATTATGACAAGAAACTCAAGAAAAACTGCTTTGGTAATGAGTGTGGCAAAATAATACACTGTTTTGATTTGTATGTGTAGATTTTTCATCCCCTTGATTTTACTTAAAAATGGCTTGTATGTCATGGCATGGTGGCCAGTTCTTTGACATCATTTCAGGCCGTGTTGAAATCGTACAAATGCAAACACTGACAGTTCCATTCCCTAAATGGTGATGTCTGACAATGAGATCACTGTTTACCTTGAGCTGTCAATTAACATTTCAGATTCCACATTAATGGAAAATACACCTGGTTGAGATTTTCCTGGGACAGTAAACCTGTGGTGCTCAGCATCTTTCTTTCTTCCTCTGTCACAGCACAAGAAGCTGGTTGAAGGAACCCTGTATGAAGAGGTGACGTCAGCCAGCTACTCTGAAAACGACATCAGTAACTCCCTAAAGAACGGCATCCTTTACCTCGAAGACCCCATTGACCATGTGAGTTTGTGTAAGCTTGGCTAAGTGATTATGAAGAAAATATACTTTAACCTCTAACTCTAACTATACTGATCGTTGTGTGTCTAAAATGTGTGTATCCATTTGCAGACGTGGACGCCACATTATTTTGTCTTGACCAGTAATAAGATTTACTACTCTGAGGAGACATCTCATTATCAGACAGCTGACGAAGAGGAGGATGATGAAGGAAAGGAGGTAGAAAAGTGGCACATAGCAACACATGGCAAAACTTGGTGCTTTCGCAACCAACTTTGGTATTACTATCTCATATGTCTTTGTAATTGGTCAGGAGTGCAACAACAATGAGCAGCACTGTGCAGAGCGCTGGTTTCATGGGAAGCTGGGTGGAGGACGCGATGGCCGACAGGTGGCTGAGAAACTCCTGCAGGAGTACTGCGAGGGCGGGGCCAAAGACGGCACCTTCCTGGTCCGGGAGAGTGAGACATTTGTTGGAGACTACACCCTCTCCTTCTGGTCCGTGTGTTTTCTGTCATAAAATAGCTGATAAATTAGTAACACAATCTGGTGCAGAGAAAGAAAAAAAAAACCCAACATTTGTAAAAAAAATTGCCATTTCATGATCAGACATCTCAAATTTAAATTATCTCCAATCCCCATATCCAGGAATGTCAGAAAAGGTTTCTAATTATCTTGAAAGTTGGTATAAGAGTTTCCTTTACCACACCAAATCCATTGAAGCTGAGCAGTAAGCAGCATCTCATTACACTATCCTTTAAAACACGGAGGTGATTCTGATTTGCATTTCAATAAAATTAATCTTGGGCTTGTAGCGATCATACCTTTTCTTGGAGCTTGTCTTGGGTTGGACAGTAATGATTGTCTCCCATCCAACCCTGGTGAATGGCTGTGGGAGAGACAGTAAAAATATTTAGTTTAGTCATAGAATAATGAAGCCTGTGCAAGACATTAACAGAACAGCTTTAAACACTAGACAGACTCGCTTAGCCCAGGCTTTCCTAAAATGACTAGCGGTAACTAGGCTTAAAAAAAACAACTTTAGCAAATAAGGAACCTAAATGTTTAGAAGTTGCCTACAGAAGAATAAATCATCGACAGTTCAGGGACCCACATATGATAAAACTCTGACTGAAGAAGATAGGACTAAAGAGACTAGAGAGAAGGAACTAAATCACAGTACTAATGCAATCTTATTCGCCTTCCAGGCGCTCTGGTCGGGTCCAGCACTGCAGGATACATTCACGTCAAGAGTCTGGCTCCACCCGCTTCTACCTGACTGATAACCTGGTGTTTGACAGCCTCTACCGGCTCATCTGCCATTATAGAGACACGCCGCTCCGCTGCAACGAGTTTGAGATGAGGCTGGGAAACCCTGTACCTCAGCCGAATGCACACGAAAGCCGAGAGTGAGTGACTCACATCTTAATATAATAAAGTAGAGGGTAAATGTATTGATACTTTAGTGTAAAAATACATTACAAGTTCAAGTCGTGCATTAAAAATGTCCTGTAATGTAAGCAAAATGATGCTAGAATAGAGGAAAAAATATGAATCTTTATTATTGATGCCTTTAATATTTATTGTATTTTATAGACTGCAGGTTACATAATTTTCATTACTGAATCAAATCGTCTTTGAATTATGTTAGTAATTAGTTCATTAAAACAATCATAAAATTAAAGTAACAGCTTTTGTCCTGCCAGCATTACGAATGAATACCAATGAATTCATTGCTCAATGTACTCCACAAGTGACAGTGCAAAAAACAAACTGTTAAAATGAAGTTTGTTGCTGTTCAGGTGGTACCACTCCAACCTGTCCCGTGTTCAGGCTGAACACATGCTGATGCGTGTGCCCAGAGACGGAGCTTTCCTGGTTCGAAAACGCAGTGAACACAACTCCTACGCCATCTCCTTCAGGTAGAACTCGACACACCGTAAAGGACAAAAATATGAGTTCTGGTCTCTGCTCAGTTAATTCTTAAAGTCAGCATAAAAATGTCATTTATTTTTGTCTATAACTTTTTTGTGTGTAGGGCAGAGGGTAAGATCAAACACTGCCGTATCCAGCAAGAAGGCCGTCTCTTCATGTTGGGTAGCTCGGCAGAGTTTGAGAGTCTGGTGGATCTGGTGAGCTACTATGAGAAACATCCTCTGTATCGTAAAATGAGGCTCCGCTACCCCATCAATGAAGACACTCTGGACCGGATGGGCACCACGGTTGGTCAAGACACACCTCACTTCAAAGCATAGCCTTGTTGTACAGTATTGTGTAGTCTTAAGCGCCCCCTCATTTCTTTTTATTTTCTCTACAGGGAGACAAAATGTAATGAAATTTTCACTCCTTTTCAGTCCAGTCCTTGTACTGGACCATTTTCAGTGTTTTGATTGTTTGTTGAGCCACTCAACACTGAATTATTCAAACATAAAAAAGCATCTAACTCAAGGCACGGACCTGTGTTGTTACACATAACAGACAACTTGGCAAAGAACGAATTTTACATTTTATCGTTTTGTAACTAGCAGCCGGTCACAAAGACACATCATTTGTTTACATTTCACTGGTTGAATCACGAAAAATGCACAGTGAAAAATCAGACATATGCCAAATTACAGAAGAGCTGGACTGAAAATCAGTGGCAACCATTTTTATACACTATTGAATTTCAGCCAGTGGGGATGGGGATCTTAATAGAATTGATGGAATTAGGTAGAAATGTACCATCAGATTTTGATCAGTCATGCAATAGCATCTGGAAAGCACCTGAATGGCAGCAGCTATACTTTTCAGCATAAGAATGATCCCTGATACATTACGTATGCAGTAAAAGCATAGCTGCATACAAAAGCACACCAATGGAACACTGTCAGTCATGGCACCCCCAGATCCTGAGTCCCAACATTGCTGTAGTGGTGCGGGATGAGTTTGACAGAGAACAGAACAAAAGGCAGACATGATCCAAAGAAGAGCTTTGGAATGACCTTAAAGAAGCTTTGAGAACCATTCCTGAAGAATATTTACAGAAATGACAAGAAACCTTGCCTAAAAGATCTCAGGCTATGTTGAAGAATAAAGGTGCTGATACTAAATATTGGCTTTCATGCTTGTTAAAATTGTACAAAATCAGTTCTTACATTATACTACTACTACTCATCAAGAAATGCTACACAACTAAGTGAATTTCCATTCAATATGAACATATAAAAAGCTGATTTTCAGAGTTTTAGGGTGCAACGGAGTCATTAATCTAATAATAATTTAATGTGCTTAATATTTCGTTGTTGTTTAGTCTATGTCTGACAATAGCAAACAAAAAGGCAGACCTTGTATTTCCTGTTAAACATGCACACTGTTCCAATGGTGGAATGCTTCTATTAAACATTGCCAAAGTCAAATATTGATGTTAGTGTATGTTGAATTAATTCAAAGTCAGTCAGAAGTAACAAAACAAAAATGGTGGCTGAAAACTTGATTATTTATTTTTCCAGGAGCTTGACTATGGAGCGCTGTATGAAGTTCGCACTCCTCATTTCTATGTGGAGGCTAATAAGATGCCCACAGCACGGGTGAGTGTGACTGGAAACACATGGCCTATGGCCCTTAAGTTTAATGGGTTTGTTTATTGATTATCACATATTATCATATTCTTTAGTAAATGATTAGTAGTTTTAATTGCCTCATTTTGCTACTATGGAAACACTGTCTAATAGCCTTTGGCAGCTCTCTGCAGTAGCAGCACAGGTACAAAGTACAGGAAATGTTTGTTTTCAGTCGGGTATTGGGAGTCCAATGTCCTTGAGGGGCTAACAGTAAAACTACTGGCACCAAAGAAGAGAGTGGGGTTTGTGCTTTTAGAATAATTAAAGGAACCAAAAAGAGAGACTGTTTATTTAAAAAGAGAAGCTGTGACTGAAAGAAACAAACGAAGAAAGAACAGAAGGAAAGAACCAACTGTGTTTTTAAGAGACAGTTTAAAAAATGTAATTAACTTTGGCGCCATCAAGCGGCTGCATCTAAAGCACAATGTGGCTGTTACGTCCCCACTTAAATGCTAGGCAATGAGGGTGGGGGACAGTAACAGTTAGATCCAGGTGGAATGAAAAGAATGCCAGGCAGAGGTATTTAATATAAAATAGATCTTTATTGTAGGCAAACACCTCAATAATCATATAAATGGCAACAACAAAAGGAGACAGCACCGCTGCTTTAATGAGAAATCAGGGAGGTCAACCCAAAGTGGTAATGACCACTTCAACAAAGGAAGCAACAATAAGGCTTCAACAGAAAGAGACAGCAACGCTGCTAGCAAACAATATCCAGGCAGGCCACACAAACTAATGAAGGCTGCCGTCACTCATGGGCAATCACTGCTCAGTTAAGCACTACTCACAAAGAGCCACACACCAGAAGGCTGGCCACACGCAGCAGGCTGTTCCACACCTAGGCTAGCAGCACACTCTGACCAGCACAGAGGAAATCCACCAGAAACCTCTCCCTCCTCCTCCACACTGCTCTTCTCCAGCTTATATCACCCTTGAGGGTAATTGGTTGTAACGAGAGCAGATGAGCAGCAGGTGTGACCTAAAGGAGAAGGCAGGGGCAGAGAGAGACAAGGGGAGGGGCCAGAACGAAGGAGGAGGAGAGGGAGAAGACAACACCACGCCCACACAAGGGCAGTATCAGGAGGCCCAGCTAGGGCCGTAACAGTGGCATAAATGCTGCAATGAACTCAGTGAAAGCAACACATGTGATGCTTCTTATCACTTTAATTCACGTTTCAAACCTCCACAGCATTAGTTATGTCTCAAAGTGCGTTCTCATTTCTCTAAAATTGTGTTTTCTTAATTGCATCAGAGTTTGTGAACTGGTCCTGTTTCTCCCTGCATGTTTTAGTGTACGGTCAAAGCTCTGTATGACTATCGAGCTCAGAGAGAAGACGAGCTATGTTTCCCCAAACAAGCGCTCATCCTGAATGTGGATAAGCAGGAGGGCGGCTGGTGAGTGACGCTCAGGTGCACATGTACCTTCTTCTGTTTTCTGCATACCTTCTTGCTGTTGATATGCGACCTGCCTTTAGGTGGAGAGGTGACTATGGAGGAAAGAAGCAGCTGTGGTTCCCTGCAAACTATGTAGAGGAGGTCCCTAGTTCCCCCACTAGAGAGATGGATGAAGCAGTGAGCTCTGATTCACTCACTACTTTCAAATGAGCTTCCAGCTTTCACTGTGTATTATTCTGACAAATATTTATTCTTTTGTGTCAGTCCACAGAGAACAGTCCTCTGGGAACTTTCCTCAAAGGCTTCATAGATGTACCAACCTGCCACCTGGGTTAGTGGATAAACGTTCTTATGTGTTATAGTTTTATCAGGTATATTAAATAATTACTGCAGGAAGGGACTAGTTCCTGCTCAAAATGATGTTGAAATTTAAACTTGATCAAAAAGATCAGTCCACAACTAGGATCATTAACTATTTTAGAAATCGAGGATTTGGTCTTTTAAAACGAGCTGCTCTCTGGTTTGTATTTTAGACAATGCAATGTTTTTAATAGTTTAACTGCATACATGTGTTTACCAGAACAATTTATTGTTTTACATGTCATATTAAAAAATATTATTTTAAAGAAAACAATTTCTTACATGCAAAAGAAAAGAAATAAGTAAAGTAGTGTCAAATAAAATAAGGTGTACATGCAACCTAAATAAGGTATATAAAAAAATAAGCCTTTATCTTCTTGGAATGCTTTCCAACATTATTACGAGGCAAAAAAGGACTCTGACAGTATTGTGTCTCCTGAGTGAGGTAATTGTGGGTTTTTATGTGAAATACATACATCTTGTACACTCCAAGCCCTTATTTAAAGCTGGATAGCTGCTGTCAACCTTAAGCTACCAAATTGAAACATGGTTTCAGACTAAGTTAACAGTTGATCTGAATCAGTGTTTTTGTTGAAAAATTGGGCGTCACTTTTTATTCACACACATGATACATTTCTACTGCAGGTGTATTTTTAGTCACAAATGTGGGTGAAGCGGTTGCACTTACATGGTGACAACTGGGCTCTACAGAGTTATATTAGTATTGAAGTATTAAAGTAAAAACAGCATAACAGATTTTGTTAATGCTGTTTTTAGATTGCTCTGTGGAAGTCCTGTTCTCACTCCTTGCAGGTTTGCCCCTGCTGTGACTTCCACATGTCTCAACTTTCTCAACTTTAAGACTTCATCATCGTCACCAACATGAATTTCAAGTTCAAGATTTATGTGTTTTGACACAGAATGAAAGAGACTTGTCGTGCATCACAGAGGCCACAAAACAGAGCAGTCTAAAAAAAAACCCATCACTGGTAGCGAGGCAGAAATGCAAAAGATGATGAATTTGAAGGTGAGATTGGCCTAAATTAAATTAGTCAGGGTTTTAGATTTGCATGGATTCATTAGTGGAAAGTAAAGCTCTGGGCTCTTACCTAGGCATAATACTGCTTTGCACATGTAGATGATACTGGGCTCAAAATTCAAAACCAGGAAGTCCAGCCAGTTGTTTTAGGACTGAAGAAGCCTCTTGGATGATCAGTAAAATGTTTTCATAAACCAGCTCTCAAGACTATCATGACCTAGATGCATGAGAAACTACACAGGCATATTTATCCAATTCTAACTTCTTCCCTCACTTTTTTCTCGTTCCACTTGTACCTCCTTTAATCTCTGCAGTGGTGCATAAAGACGGAAAGAATTCCCGGGCCTTTGTGTTCACTATCCACTCCCAACACCTCTCTTCTCATCCGGTCCAGACTCTGGACGTAGCAGCTGACAGTCTGGAAGATCTCACCGGCTGGGTCAGCAAGATCAGAGAGGCTGCACAGAATGCTGATGCACGAGTGAGTGCAACTCCGCACACATACACGGATGAGTGCAAACACATCTGTTAGAGTTTTTGCTACTTGAATAATTAGACCGCAGGTCGTCAGGACTTCACTTAAGGACTTTCCTTGCTTACATGAAAACGTGACAGAGCCTCGATTACACTTCGCATCACAACTAAATTTTGTAAATAGCAATATTTATGACTATGTATATGATATATGTGGCTTTTCTAGAACAATTAAGTATGAATATTTTTCAGATGTTTGTGTAAAATGATTTGTTTTATCTTTATGCTCGATTGGACTGGATGTTTGCTGTGTTTGTCAAACTGACTTATGGTTACTCTTTTGATCATAAAGCAGGAAACTACATATAAAAAATTTAGAGATTAGGAAATGTTTTCATCTCTAAGCGGAGTCTGCATTTATGGGTCCGAGCCTGTGGTGAGCTTAGCAGTTTTGTCTAGCTGAATATCTAATTTTGGGGGTGACAAACTGAGAGATTAATGGGTTGGTGAGTTATATCTGTGCTATGAAGGGGGCTCTCTCTTCACCTGGTCAAAGCACTTTAGTCACTTGCCGAGGACATCATCTGCTCCTGACAATGTTGTATTCAGATTTCACTTTAAAATTGTCTACATGCACCACGTTTTCATGTCTTCTTTAATACACTACAGCAGGGGTGAGGGAACTCCAGGCCTCGAGGGCCGGTTTCCTGCAGGTTTTAGATCTCACCCTGGGTCAACACATCTGAATCAAATGATTAGTTCATTACCAGGTCTCTTGAGAACTTCAAGACATGTTGAGGAGGTCATTTAGCCATTTAAATCAGCTGTGATGGATCAAGGACACATCTAAAACCTGCAGTTCCCTACCCCTACGTTATGGTGTAGTGTAAAACTTGAACACGCTCTCAGTCTTGCAGAAGTCCACTTTACTGTTAGTGTGAACACTGAGGTTCTTGTAACCCTCTGCTGTCTCCAAACAGAGCTTGGGAATGGAAATAGGGATCACTGGTGTTGTTGTCCTCCTCATGCCCACAACCAGTTCCTAGGTCGTTACCTCATTAAGCTGCAGATGGTTGTGCTTTGCTGCATTCTTCCTCATCACCAGCCTAAAGTCTGTGGTGTTTGGGGTGAAGAGAAAAGGAGACGAGATAGGAGATATGTTTCCTGTGTTTTGTGATCAGCAACACACAAGTCTGTGAGAAACACAAAAACACTGTGGGAATCACTTTGTTGACTCTTGCATGCTAACTCCCCACTTCTTCGACTCCACTGCTGTTAGCTGGCCTTAAACCAGTGATGGTCTTCAGACCTCCCTCATGTTGTTTTGCTGAGATTTCCACTCCAGCTCCCTCCTGTATTTGTCCTTGGCCTCCCTGACTTATGCCTTCAGTTCATTTTGAACTTCTCTCACTGCCTCCCTGTTAGCAGACCTCAAAGCTCTCTTTTTCCTGTTGAGCAGTGCTTTGATGTCCTTTGTTACCCATGGCTTGTTGTTTGGATAACACTTCACACTCTCTGTTGCAATTGTGGAGTCGGTGTACAAATTTATGTAGTCTGTGGTTAATTCTGTGAGCCCATCGATATCCTCCCACAGAGTGCTTGGCAATTAGTCACCTCAAAACAGCCCTGGAGAGCCACAAAAGCATCCACTGATTATTTCCCCACCGTCCCTGTGGTCATAGGCTATCTCATGACTAAAGGGGCATTGCACAGAGTGATGTGAACCAGGCTGTGATCCAAACGACTAAGCGTGTGGGGGGGAGGATCAGGTTTGGAGCAGATCTATTGTCCTGTCATTTTTGGTGGGGCAGCTAGCCTGCTGGGTGAAGGTGGTTATTGCGGTGTCAAAGGTGTTGTGGTTAAATTCTCAAGCGATAGCAATAAATGCACTTGGATTTTGTCTCTGTAACCGGGTCTGGGGATTTAGGTTCAACATGGCAGTGGAGAAAGCAATCCCCTCAAGATGCTTGGATCTGTTTCCCAGTCCACTGTTTACATCACAGAATGATACATGGGGAACTTAGTTGGAAGTTGCTGTCAGTTTAAGTTGATATAAGAGTTGTAGGTCATAGGTGGGTACATTCCAAATGGGATTCCTAGAAGCTGCTGAAGCATGTTTTTGAATCAAACTGCTACACCACCAGCAGTAATCTCAGCTAGAGTAGAGAGTGTGAATGTATAAAGTTTTCTACGGGACAACCTTGTCAAATAGTGAAACTCCAAACTTGACAGTTTCTTCATACTCATATGTCAGATACATGCTGTTATAATGTCGGTTGTTTATAGAAAATATAGCTAATGTTCTCAGAAGATGATGCAGATTCTTTATTTGTCACATGCATAGTCTGAGCGGAGCGGTCAGGAATGTTGCTCCTTGTTGTCCATGTTGTTGTTTTCATGGTGTGAAAACCATTTGCAGAAAAAAATGTGACATATGTTTAAGAAATGTTCATATTTGTATGGTTGTCTCATCTCCATGGTAACAGATGCAGGAGGAGAAACAGATGGAGAGGAGGAAGAAGATTGCAGTGGAGCTGTCTGACCTCGTGGTCTACTGCAGACCAGTGCCCTTCAATGAGGACAGTAAGGACCATACCATTTCATTTCTTTTACCATTATAAACTGTTGCTGTATGCAATCTCATGTCTCACTTCCTGTTTCATTTGCAGAGATTGGGACGGAGCGAGCATGTTACCGGGATATGTCCTCCTTCCCGGAGACAAAGGCAGAAAAGTTTGCGACCCGTGGCCGAGGGAAACGCTTTCTGCAGTACAACCGTCGTCAGCTTTCCAGGATTTATCCCAGAGGACAGAGGCTGGACTCCTCCAACTATGACCCTCTACCTATGTGGCTCTGCGGCTCACAGCTGGTTGCACTCAATTTCCAGACCCCAGGTCAGTGTGTGGATGCATTACTGTAGAGAGCCTTTCTATCCACACAGTGAGTCCAAGACAGCATGGGTTGATGGCAAGTTGTAAGATTTTCCTCATCTCAGACACTAATTCATGTCTGATCTCAGAGAAATTTATCCATCCATCCATCTTTTTCCACTTATCTGGGGCCGGGTTGCGGGGGCAGCAGCCTAAGTAGAGAAGCCCAGACCTCCCTCTCTTTGGCTACCTCCTCCAGCTTGTGTGGGAGAACACCAAGGTGTTCCGAGGCCAGCTGAGAGATATAATCTCTCCAGCATGCTCTGGGTCTGTCCCGTAGCTTCCTCCCATTGGAGGAGTGAGGAGGAGCAAGAGGCCGCGCAGACCCACCTCACCCGGGAGGCGCTTAGGAGGCATCCGTGACAGATGCCCGAACCACCTCAACTGGCTCCTTTCGATGTGGAGGAGCAGCGGCTCTACTCTGAGCCCCACCTCGAGGGCTGTACTTCTCACCCTATCTCTAAGAGAGAGGCCAGCCACTCTTCGGAGGAAGCTCTTTTCCGGCGCTTTTATCCACAGTCTTGTTCTTTTGGTCACTACCCACAGCTTGTGACCATAGGTGAGGGTGGAGACGTAAAACAACTGGTAAATCGAGAGCTTCGCTTTTATACTCAGATCTCTCTTCACCACAACAGACCGTAACAGCATCCACATCACTGCAGTCACAGCACCAATCTGTCTGTGGATCTCCCGCTCCCTTCTACCATCACTGGTGACCTGTTACCCTGGATACTTAAACTCCTCGACTCAGGGTAGGAACTCGTCCCTGACCTGGAGTGGACACACACCTTTTCCAGCTGAGTACCATGGCCTCAGATTTGGAGGTGCTGACTCTTGTTCCCACTGCTTTACACTCGGCTGACACTTGCCCTCAGGCACGCTCCCCGGGCCTGGCTCCTGAGCAAGTTATCGCTAACAAATTCCTAACAAATTTGACTCGAGCAGTGGCCACCAGGGGGAGACATTGATACAGTGTAACATCTGGCTTACTTTTACAGAAAAGCTCCTATTTGCCTCTAAGAACAACAGGCCGCAGTCTGTCCACATACTCAACCTGTGATGGATCAGTAATCAATTAGTGATGCTAAATACAATTTTACACTCATTCTTTAAAACCTGTCTGTTTGTAGATAAACCCATGCAGCTGAACCAAGCTTTGTTCATGCTTGGAGGTGGGAGTGGCTATGTTCCCCAGCCTGACATCATGAGGGATGACATGTTTGACCCTTTCGACAAGGACACATTGCACGTGGAGCCAATCACCATCCAATTACAGGTCAGATTAACTAAGCAGGATAGAGGGAGTTTGATTGTACAGCTAAGTCAATCCTGAGAGAAAGCAAAGAAGCAGTTCACATTGTCCAGGCATGCTCCCTTTCTAGGTGAGAACAAGCTTAAAACTACACTTTTATTGTTCTTTGAACCATAATGAAAGTTAATGGAAGAAACTGACCATAGCTAGAGTTAGAAAGGCCACAAAGTCACACTCAGCCACCGTTTTGGCAGATCAGTTCATACAGAAGGTGGTATTTTTGCTCCCCCCTTTTTTCAAAGCGGAGTGAAAAAAATATCATATGAAGTCAGTTGTCTGACAATATGATCATGAGCCAATTTCAGCTGATTTCTAAAAAATACAGACCGATTTTACTTTGTCAATTAAGTGCTCCCGGCCCACTTTAATATTCTAAGTGTCCAATTTTCCCACTGTCTTGCTTATTCTTGCTCTGTTTCCCAGGTGCTGGGAGCTCGCCATCTGCCTAAGAATGGCCGGAGCATTGTCTGTCCTTTTGTAGAGTTGGAAATCTGTGGAGCCGACTATGACAGTTACAAGTGCAAGACAGATGTTGTAGGTAAGACAGCTGCTGCATAGCAGCAATGAAAATGCAACATTTCAGCAGTTTATGTGCACTCACTGCAGTGTTAACCCTCTGCTTTTCTCCACCCTCCTAGCTGATAATGGTCTGAATCCTGTGTGGGTGCAGAAGCAGTTTGTGTTTGATATCCACAACCCCACCTTCACCTTTCTGCGCTTCACTGTCTACGAGGAGGACATGTTCAGCGATCCCAACTTCCTGGCACAGGCAACTTACCCAGTCCGTCTGCTCAAAACAGGTGAGTGCGCAAATGTCTCCAGAATACAAACTTATGAGTTATTTATTTTTGTATTTTTTAGATTGCAATGTTTCTGGAAATATTTCCTAATCGTAATTTACATTGAATTGGTTTAATTTTCTGTTTTACCAGGCTACAGGAGTGTACCTCTAAAGAACAGCTACAGTGAGGAGCTCGAGCTAGCGTCCCTTCTGGTTCACATAGAAATCGTCAATGCTAAGGTTTGGGCTACTTTATCTCTGCAACAAACAGGACATCTGAATAATAGTACTCTGCAGGCATGAGGCAAGATTTTTGGTTTCCATTTGTAGTTCAAAGATCTGTTGATGTGGAATCTACACACAGAACCCCTGACTTTCACCGCTGTGAGATACATAGCCACAAATAACATGGTATCAGCAAATAAAGTTCACTAAGCACAGTCATATTTGATGATTTCTGGATTTCCAGTTAGCAGCACTGCTGTTAGTTGAAGCTGAACACCACCATCTGAACGTGAAAATTCCAGCGTGAAATAACCTTTTTGTACACGTCTTCATCATTATTTCCACAAAACAAATATCACACAGCCTCTTTTTTCAACTAGGCACTAAAAGTCACAAATTCATGAATCGTTAAAAATGTTCAAAATTTATGATTCATTACAAATCCACATTTATCAAATCCCACTGTTAAGTATTACATTCTGAAATAAAGCTGTTGCATTCTCTATCCACCTTGTGGCTACAAGGAGGAAGACGATGAGAACTTGTACACATCCATCCAGCGGTTGCGAGATCGAACCTGCGAGCTGTCCAACCAGGTTTCTCTCCTGGAGAGGTCAGGCTCCGCAGACCTGAGCTATCAGCAAAGTCTGGAGGAGCTCCGAGCCGCTCAGGACCAGCTGAGTGAGCTGGTGGAGGCTCGCAACCGCAGGTTAGTCCCTTAGCAGGGGCTCCTGCAAGCTTTAATTTAACATCTCCAAATTACATCTGTATCTGCTACATCTGCTATCTGTCTGTCTTCCACTAATCTGTCACTGTTTTTCTTGCTGCTCTTTCAGGCTGATGGAGAAGAAGAGAAGGGAGAAGCTGAGACAACAGGTGATAGCAAAGCGCAGCTAATCCTCCCGTCCACCCGAGAGCGCTAAACTCCAACACAAACTGTGCCTCATAGGTTGTGTGGTGACAGCCTGAATAGAACAGGGCTCGGTTCCAGGAAGCATATTCAATATACTGTTAGTCTGATAAACTCTTAGTTGATTAACTCTGATATCAGAAGCTCAAGGTTTTCAGTTTCAGAACAGCTCATAAGTGTTTTCTTTCTCTACTCACTTGCATGAGTAGAGAAAGGAAACACTCATCACTGAAGATCAGATACCACAATGCAACAGGGGAATATAGTGCAGAGTCTTCATTTTAATCAAATGAATGGAGGAATGTGAACATGTGCCAGTGCTGACTATGACATTTATCGGGGGGGGGGACTCATTTTAATTTGCTTGGACCAGTCTGTTATCATTACAGACCTTACAAACTTTTATATGAAATTTAAAATTTTCTATCGTGTTTCACAGTCCTTTACATGAGATGTGCATCCAAAACGGACCAAAAACGCATGAACTGGGAAATTACTGAAGCCGAATTCAATCCAGGCCCGATCCAGTATGAATCTGTGATTCTTGTCCATTTTCAATCTTTTCTGTTGTGCAAGTGGACTCCAACCTGACCATAGTTTCTGATCCATTGTGGAGCCTATCATAGGCTACCTGTGGGCAAATCTGGGTCTGAGTTGATCCAATGAGAAAGATTCAGGTGATTTTTTTTAGTCGAAAACATCAGATTCAAATTCTGATTTTCAGACTCTCTACCATTCAGCCTGATGTTTGACTTTAATTTAATGAGTTAATGACTGAATATCAATCTGTGAACACATTTCAACATGAAATCTACAGAACACACCGCATTTTGCCTAAAAAGCCAATTTAAAATACATTTTTAGACTCTTAATGCCCTTTCAGCCTAATCTTCATTCAAATATTCATCTCCAACATCTGTGACTGATAGTATGACCGATAGCAACACGGGAAATGAAGTTCATTGACCAGTGTGTTGTCTGTCTAACGCTTCATACAGATCAATTTAACATAAACAGTAATTGCTACAGTGCTCTAAACTTGTTGATAGGCTGACAGTTACACAACTGTCCACAGGGTCACAGAAGAGATGGATCTGAGTGAGGGTAAAAGCACTCAAATCTAAAAACAGCTAACTGAGGTCTAACTGGGATTTGTGTTTTTCTAAAAATGTAAATTTCCTTAAATGAATTACCTGTGCTATGCACTTTCATAGTGAATGAGGAGCTGAATCAGAGTATCAGTCAGCTGATTCAGCAGCAGCAGGACATTGAGCGGTTTTAGTTCTGTTTACCCAGTGACTGAGTTTAAGTTAACTCGCTTTCTGGAACAGAAAACCTGGCGTTTTCCTCATCTCAGGGTTAACAAAGAGTTGTTAGATAAACCTGCTTCCTGGAGTAGACTCTAGCAGGCTTTCTACAGCAGCCACATGCAATCCATTTAGAAGTGAAGAAAACATGTTCTTTGACGAGAAAATATCATATAGTATAGCAACGTTCTGTGCTGAGGGCAGAATGAAAAAAGTAAACACAAACATAAGTATCTCATGGACTGAAAAGACATAAAACTAAGCTATAAAAACAATCGTGGACTAAAGGCTGAAACATATTAATTGCAAACTGTTTTTTCTGTGACAGATTTCATGAAAAGTAGATTGCATAACAAAACTACAACGTGTTTCTAATACTTTTGGTAATAGTGTCCAATGAAATGGAATCTGGGGAAGTTTAAACCATTGGTGAGAAAAAGAAAGTGTTTGAAAATGAAATATTTATGAAAACAGACATTATTCATTATTTTGATGGACCTGGAAGTTATTTAAAAAGGAAAAACAATCAGTACAATAACAAATAATGAAATTATTCTTTAATTATTATTTGCCATTATTATAAAGAGTCATTGTGGGAATCAGCAGTAAATACAGCTAGCACTTTTTCAAATGCAAACACAATATAAATTTCCATTTGACATTTTCAGATGAATGCTGTACAATTTAAACAATAATTTACCTACAAATCTCCCCCTGAAATTTGCACTTACTTTGTTTCAGGCTTTACCAAGAAAAACAGGATAAAAAGGGAGACGAAAACTCAGGTTACACAAATGTGGGGAATGAAAAATTTAACTGTTCGTAATGGATGGAAAAAGGGGTTAGAGGGCACTTGTAGCAAAAAGGAAGTATCCTGTATGTGCCTTTGTTCTGGAGTGTAATTACTCTTGTATTTAAGAAAGAACAGGAGCTCTCTTTACAACTGGAATAATTTCCCTTTTAGGGAAAACGATCTACAGTCTAGAGGAACATGCTCATTTGGTTTTTGACCACTACCCATTAAATAGGGTTTAAAGGGATCTAAAGATGCAAGTCTGTTCCTCCTAATCAAGACCAAGTCCTCGGGTGATCACTTGAACTCTGCCTCCAGGTGGTGGGGGCTTCTGTCATAGACTTTCTTGTTCTGCCGGGGAGAGCACAAATTCTCACCAAACCACGTAGAGAAGGTTTTTTTTAATATTTCTTCAAAGGGCTCTAAATTTATCTATACTACCTTCAGAGAAGTGTGAGAACAGTGAGTGGGGGAGGAGACGAGAACGCTCCCCTGGGTGTCTGCATAGGGGCTCAGATGTGTTCGCCTCTACAGGGAAACACCCACAAATAAAGGGCTATCACTAAAAAAAAAAAAAAACAAGCAAAGAAAAAAACAACAACAAAAAAAACCTAGTAAAGCATTCTTTTTACCTGCCAGCTCTGATTTCATGCCTTGTTTCTAAACCATCGATCAAGATCAGTTTCCATCATCTGACTTTAATCAACAGATGTGGCCCAACTGGTCCTGAATTTGCCAAAAGCAGCTTTGATTGGACCCTCTGCATGACTTTATATTTAACCACCCACCCCTGTAGCTACTTCATCTCCTCCCCTGTCTGATTTCTCATTGTATATAACTTCTTTTATTTATCAGACAGCTGTAGATCCTGTTTTAATAGATAAAAGAACGTGCTACAAGGATGCTAGCGGACTTCAGATTGAAGATACTATAACTTTATGTAGAAATTATTATTGTGTACCTGGAGCTCCCTTTAACTGTCCCCGTAGACACAAACCTCTCTTTCTCCCTACACTGCAGTTGCACTGGGTAGGGACTTCTATGCAAAGGTCATCGTTTTGGCCTATAGCCATTGTGTATTAGGCGGTTGACACAAGTTGTGTTTTTCTCTCTGCACCTATGCTAACTGTCCAGTATTATTATTCTGTATTGCAAATCATGTGCAAGTTTCCATTTAATAAAGCTCTTTCATGTAATCGGCAGAATGTCTTTTCATTTTAAAATAAAAATCCAGAAAAAGGAGTGATCACATTTTTATTGATATATATATATATATATTTTCTTTTTTTTCTTCTTCTAATGATTAAAAAAAATTGCATCCAAACAAATTCTGTCCCCTAACGTGCGGCAACCAGCCGCTCTCCACCTAGCTCCCTCCTCAGGTATGGCTCCAGGGTGGGGCCCTGGTTAACCGTCTCAGGTAATTTCACCCCATGGCAGGAAAGGGACCCTCTAGTCCAGGGCTGCCCAATCCCAGTCCTCAAGAGCTACTGTCCTGCAGCTTTTAGATGCATCCCTACTCCAACACAGCTGAATCAAATGGTTTGATTACCTCTTCAGCATGCCATCATGTTTGGCAAAGGCCTGATAACAAGCCATTCATTTGATTCGGGTGTGTGGGAACAAGGATGCATCTAAAAGCTGCAGGAGGGTAGCTCTCGAGGACCGGGATTGGGCACCCCTGGTCTAGTCCAAGTCTGCTCTGTTGTATAAAAGCTAAACTTATACAATTATATATGTGTCAAGTAATTGATAAGCAACATTTTTCACTGAGTCATTATGTGAACCAAATTAAGAACTGTTTAAATGCTGCTATGCTGCTATCAGTTAAAGAAAATTCAAAGTTATGGGCTAGCACAATCCATTTCATTCCAAACTTCCCAAAATATTCTACTTTTGCACTTTGTCATAGTTGTCTGTAAAAAGATTTCCCACTTTATTTTAATGTTGTTTTATTAGTTATTATTTTTCCTCTGTACAGTGTTTATCCTTATTCCTATGTTGCATTTCTGAAGAATAGTTGTTGCCAAGCTTTTTATCCTTGATCGGCAAATGAAGTAGATTTCTATTCTGATTTTGTCAAAGCATTACATTACAAGCATTACAAAGAGCTTGTTCAACAGGTAGTCATATGATAAAAATATTTATTGACCCTTATTTATTTATTCGGAACATGCTGATATGTATGTGACTGGAGCCCCAGTGTAAATTAAATAAGAGCCTTATAAAAGGAATGGTGTCATTAATAACTGCAAAAACAGTTGCGTATTAAAACCACAAATTTCTAAAATATTGTGATCTATTTAAAAATACAAGTTAATATATAAATATTCTTGCTTAGGTTTTACATTACATTATTTTCTTTTAGACCAGTACATAGGTCTCTTTCTGGTCAAAGAATTACAAATTAAACCTGCAGTCCCATTTCATTCTGTTGAAGTGGTCCACCAGTTAGTTATTCTTTAATTTGTTGTGGTAGAACAGTGGTTCCCAAAATGTCTGTGAAGGTTCTCAGTCATCCAGGTCATCGTAGTCAAAGGAGCTTGCAAAGAAAAGCGGTGGTTCCCAAACTTTTTTTGCTGCCCCCCGCGCGCGCGCACACTCACACTCACACTCACGCACTAACACATCCTCCAACCACACACACCCATATTTTGCTCCATTGCGGTTTATTTCACACCTCAAATATTTAGTAAACAGTTACGCGAATAGTAATCTGCAATAAATTACAGGTAGTAAGGAAATAAACTACTAACTCTTTTACGCTACGTCCGCACCTACACGGGTATTTTTGAAAATGCAGCGGTTTCGTCCACACGTAAACTCCTTTTTTGCGTTTACGTGTGGAGGAGGAATACAGAGTTCGTCATGCAACGTCAAAGGTATGTGCCTTTTTTCACGTCACGCTGTGCGTCACGTTATTGATTACATGAGATGAATTGCAGAATGGCAGATATTCGGATTTACAGGTTTTACACGCTTGCATATAAACACGCAGTTACTGTCTCTCTATTTAGAACGGCAGAGGCGTCACGGTGTAATTATTTTACATGTAGTTGTTTTTATTCTGTGTAATAATATTCAACATTGCTATCAATACATTTTTCAAAAAATGCCTCTCTGTGCAAAATGGGTTTAAAAACATAAACAGCTGTGGGATACTATTTGTCTGTTTAGACAGGGGGACCAAATCGTGGTAGGATGGCAGAATCAGCCTGATATTATTTGTATCCCACTGTAACTTTACTGTATAAAGAGCTAACATCTGAAAGGGAAGATATGCTTCACCATATTTTCTAGTCTTTGGCTTAGAATGAAGTTGGTTTGGAAACATTCAGCGATGCTTCATCTACTGCTTTGCGTTTGTGTGGCGCCCTGTGCTAGCAGTGTCCAAGCATTGTCCCCGCCCCCCGCAATGGCTTTGGGCGGGCCCCACACTTTGGGAAAGTCTGTGCTAGAAAGTAATTTGGAAGAAGCAGTGTCTGTCTGGCAAAGCTCCTCGGACTGCAATAGTTTTAAATGGACAGCTCCAACATTTGAGTTCAACTGTTTCATGGAGATGATGACTTCTCTTCAACATGTGAACCCCACAGTGAGAGGGCTTAGAGACTCTCCGCAAACTATGCTTCAGAATCTGGCTGAACGAATCAGAAAAGAGATTTCACTGGTAAGTCCTGGCAATCAGCTCAAACGTATATCCAAAATATCTTTCTTTTAAGTAAAAGTGTCCGTGGAATAAAGTAAATGCAATCTCTGTAGCAAACATCGGGAAAGACTAGCCTCTCTTCAAGTGGTAAAGCAATGTGTGTTTTTTATTTATTTATTTATTTATTTTTAGAACATGTAGCCAAATGTGTAAATGAGAATGCATACATTTCCCTACTGGAGATGTAAATATAGGTAAGTTGACACTTGCCAAACTCCTTGATTTACACATAAAAGGTATTTACAGATCTGTCATAGCAAACAATCACAAAAATCACTTGTGACAAGACAGCTCTACTTGCTTACAGGATTTACAGTTATCTACACACTCTTAGATCTACTGAGGAGTGCTAAATTAAAGGAGTTAAAGTAACATAAAGCATCTCAGTAAGGTGACAACATGCAACTACACTATGCGGTTGTGCCTTAGATGTTGAAGCAGGCCGTCTACTAATCAGAAGGTCTTACAAATTGAGAGTTACAGATTCCTGTGGAGAAGGAATTAAATACATTTTTCTTTGATTTTTTGTTTAATTGTTTATTTTTTAATGGTTGTCACAGGGTTGTGAACAAATGTCTACATCTTCTCCACATACACAGCAGTAGTGTTACACCACCTTTAAAGGTGAAGTCAGTAATTTATTTTACGCTATTAAATAGCCAAAAACCATAGTGTACTCCGAAATATATAGGAGGTTGGTGTGTAATTACGTCTTCCAACAAACATATAATTAATCTATTAAAAATACACATCAGTAGGTTTGCAGTTTGTGGAAGCAGCAATGTTGTCCCACTCTATTTGAATGCAGTGGTCGGGAAGGACTTCTTTCATCAGACTAATCACGTTTTATGTGGGCCAAATGTAAAATACCAAATGTAGAAGAGAAGAGAGTCCCCGTAGGCATTTGCATACTGTGAGGATACATTTTAATTCATGTCTGCTCCTCCATATTCAAGATATGAAGCATCACATCTATGTTCTGTTGTAGGAGAAAGATTCCAACAGACAAAAACTGGCTAAATAATAACAACAGCTGGTTAAAAACTAACACTATGTTAATGTTCGAATCACACTTTCTCAATGATAAACAGTTTGATTACATTCTTACGGTGGCCCCTAGAGACAAAGCACGTACAAACTCCAAAACACTTGCAAACTCCAAAACACGTACAAACTCCGAAACACTTGCAAACTCCAAAACACTTGCAAACTCCAAAACACATGCAAACTCCAAAACATGTACAAACTCCAAAACACTTGCAAAATCCAAAACACTTGCAAACTCCAAAACACATGCAAACTCCAAAACACATGCAAACTCCAAAACACTTGCGAACTCCAAAACACTTGCGAACTCCAAAACACACATATATGTAAGCAATGAGCCAAATTTAGTAATGCCAACATACTGAAGGAACAACATTTGTCTCTTATATATGATACACCTATATATGCACTGTCAAAGATACTTGTCTTTGAGTGAAGATTTAAGGTGATAAGACATATAAATAACTGCAACTTGAATCTGTACTGAAGCTCAGTATTTGACACAGAGTTCATGTTCACTGCTGTAATAGCTAATAATGATTAATATAATAACTATAATATTGGCCATATTATATTTACATTACCAAAGTGATATGACTTTAGTCTCATGAACAACATCAGCTAATTCTTATTTACTAACTAATCTTGAAATAACTGTTCAGTACAGAAATGAAGCCCAAAAATCATGTTTTACTGTCCTGTGGTCTCAGCCTCAGATACTTATCAAATCACACAAAGCTCTTGTAGAAACAAACAAACAAATGAACAAAATATGTTCTCCCTCATTTCTGTCAAACCAAGTTGTATGACACGTTTCCAGCGGTTAGTATCATGGTTGCTAGGCAACCTGGGAAGCGCGACGGAGACTAGACCGTCCCATACAGACAAACTTGCCGTTTATTTTGCAAATCGAGCTCAACACTGCCCCTAGCGTCCTGGAGCACTTCCGTTGTGTTTTGGAATTTGCATGTGTTTTGGAGTTTGCAGTGTTTTGGATTTTGCAAGTGTTTTGGAGTTTGCAAGTGTTTTGGAGTTTGCAAGTGTTTTGGAGTTTGCAAGTGTTTTGGAGTTTGCAAGTGTTTTGGAGTTTGCAAGTGTTTTGGAGTTTGCAAGTGTTTGGAGTTTGAGTGTTTTGGAGTTTGCAAGTGTTTTGGAGTTTGCAAGTGTTTTGGATTTTGCAAGTGTTTTGGAGTTTGCAAGTGTTTTGGAGTTTGCAAGTGTTTTGGAGTTTGTACGTGTTTTGGAGTTTGACGTGTTTTGGATTTTGCAAGTGTTTTGGAGTTTGAGTGTTTTGGAGTTTGCAAGTGTTTTGGAGTTTGCAGTGTTTGATTTGTTGTGCAAGTTTTGGGTTGCATGTGTTTTGGAGTTTGCATGTGTTTGGAGTTTGCAT